GACAGAGAAATAGCTAGGCTACACAAATTGTACCCATGATTGGAAGAAAACCCGGGTCTCGGTTTGACCGCTTTAACCACTGGGCTATCGCACCATCCGGCACAAAATGAAAATGTACGCTTCTTTAGATGTATTGAAGAATTTGTTTCGGTCAGATTTCAAGTCGAATGTAGATAAGATCAAAGTCAATCGGTTCCAAGGCAGAATGTCAAAGTAAACTATTTTGAAATAAACCGGGCTGATGAACAGCACACCACGGCTGACTGCACTGTGTCATGGGTCTATTATTATGGACCCTTGGGGAATGTCTAAATTCATGTGACTAGTTTCATTAACACAGAGACGGCATTTTAGCACTGTTGTGACGTTATCAGAACAATAATGAAGTTGGTGATCAGCCTCGTGTCTGACGTCCACGTGTCACATCGCCAAGTAGACAGGACACAGGTGACCTCTCTGCGGCACAGTTTCCAGACTGCAGTGACCACTGCTCAGACCATTTCAATACATCGACATATCCACCCCATCTCTCAGGAACCACTTAGTCATTACGGATACGACCACGTCATCCCGCAACACGACTTATCCTCTGGAAACATCACTGAAAACAACGTCCAATGTGATTCTGAAATAAGAGCCTTCCACCTTGCTTGTGGTGGACTGTTGCCTTTACAGTCAAGCTCAGATTTCAGTAGTGACAGACGTGAACGTGTCTACAGATGTCTTGGCAAGCGGCCGTGGGGTAACCTTGAGGCTAAAGTCGCTTGTCACGCTGAAGACCTGGTTTCGATTCCCCACATGGGTACCTCCGCTTTGATATTGCTGGAATATTGCTAAAAGCAGCGTAAACCCATGCTCAAGTCTGTGTTGTGGAGAGGAATCACTTTTGGAGTGGTTCGTGAATACTTGAACTATCTCGACCCCTGGAGATCCTTTACTATCTTCAGGGTCACTTGTCTACGCAACTAAGCCATAGGTTACTCAAACAATGTGGACATACAACCAAGTCATGTTTGTAAGACAAATAAGTTTAATCATAATGAAGCAACTGATTATATACAAACAATACTTCCTCTCGCTCACGACCTCCAGTGTCATGTGAAGCAATTAAATATCAACATGATTATAAAAATACATGCACTTATCCAATTCATTTAAAACTGTGGTAGAGAGTAAACAAAAACAAACCTTTAACAACTTACAAATGTTGGACAATTTTATTCACTGTTCTGACATCCCATGAGTCTTCCTATCTCAATCTCAAACCATATTTTTGCTGGCAATCAAAGAGAATAGCACTGACATTTCACCGTAGAAATATCTTTTTAAAAAAAGAATTCATTGGAGTTGTTAACAAGACACCTAACAACTTAAATCGCCACTTGTCAATATCACTGACATAGTACCAGACATCCAAGCACCTGTCATATAAAACATAAAATTATTGCTCGTCAATTTCACCAGTATTCCAAATTAATACTTAGGGAATATTTCCATGTCTGCAGTTTTTCAAAGGTCTCAGATACAAGTTAGAAACTACTACCACTACATCATGTTAGCATCCTATGGCTCATCATGCTACACTGATAATCCAATCAAGTTATGTATGGGGATTCTCAGCTCCCTGGGGAGCATACAACCTGGATCCTACCTCATCAGTTACTGACAACATGACATGGGACTGTGGACCTAGTTAATGAAAACTGTTACAAAACAAAACGTCTGTAGCTGAGGAAAAACAAGTTCTGGGTAACGTAGATTCTATTATTTGGCAAGAAAACTGTGCAGAAGCTTCTTACCTTGTAACACACAGGTACTTATTGTCACTACATTGTCTACTACCGTTCACAATGCACATAAACCACATACATTCTATTTTTAGCCCATTCCTGAGGTGAGATGCATGTCTTTTTGTCTTATATGGTTATAAATGAATCTAATACTGAAGATATTAAGTAGCAATAAATAAAACAACAATTTCTCCTGGAAGTAACTGACTCAAGATTGCTACACACAATAAGGAATATCACTGTGATACCATTCTCTTTAATATTTCATGCGAGTTTCAGCAAGGACGATCGTCTTTATTATGCGAGTTTGTGTTAGTTGTGTCATCACCATTCGATGTTTGTAAAACAAGCAATCAATCTACAATGAAATAATTACATGTCAACAGGCATTGACACAACAGCAGTTGTAATTACAAAAGCAGTATGAATACTCCAACAACTATATAAAACAAATATACATATAAAACGATGAAATCAACTAATTAATTATAAATCTATAAAAGCACTGTAGTGCTACCTAATACCAAACTGCCGTAACGATTCTGACCTGAGAGATCCTACTGGTTACAGCGGGGCAGAACTTCAGATCCTAGATAATTGTTGATTTTGATTACATTACAATCTGAGCAAGCACGCTGCTACACTGAGGCTGCCATTTTGTGTTGCAATTTACAAATGACACATTTCAGAAGAATTCTTAAAACTCCAGAAAACATCTGATAGGTTAAGAATCCTAAACCTATAACATAAAATGGAACATCTAACATTGGCACATATTGTAACAATTGTGAATATAAATGATCAAAATGGGTTTGGTTTTAAGTAACTATAGATAACCATTGTGGTAAAGGTGTTGTTGACCATATGTTTGTGGGGATAATACTCGGTGTTCGGTGAGGAGGTTAAAATAACTTGAACCAAAATCAGATGAAGTCATTGCTAGGATATTCTACAACCTCAGATTTGGTTTTGATTTGGTCTTTGTGACACAGGCTACTGGCAATGTGTGGTTCAGTGTCAGACTTCCTATAGTGGTGTTATAGTGAAAACATGTGTAAAGAGAACGCTGGAAGCCCAAGGTAAACTGTCTCACATCATTCAACCACAACCTTGAGCTGCATCCCACTGTGGGAACTCCCATCTTTTAAAACACAACTGTTTTTTTTTCATGTCTCATCCATTCAAAAGTGGTCAACATGGACAGTTGAGGCAATGGCACCAGATACCAAAGTATCGATTCTGAATACTCCTTGTAAACTACACACAAATGAAGTACTATGAAGAAAAATGCAATCAAAAGTAAACGTCATTTTTATCATAATGCTATTTCTTCAAGGTGACTCTAAAAACCTTGCTTCTATGAAGATCTACAGACGAATGGTTGCAGACCTTATTTCCTTTTTAGAGTTTTTTTCTTTAATAAGAATTCATGTACTAACATGACATGAGACTTTTCTGGTCTGGTTTGACGCGTGGTGTGATGAGATCCCAGTTTGAAGACTGATCAATTTGCATAATCCACAACAAACCATTAGTAAGTAACAGAATCATCAGTCACATTCAGTTATCAGTCCACAGATTTCTATGACCTTTGACTTTATAATGGGAAGAGGATTGCTCCTAGAAGAACATGCTCTTCGGTCTAAACATGGAAGCTTTGCTTGAAACAGACTTCTCATTGACGGTAGGTATGTAGTACGAAAGTCAGGTTTCATATGAAAAACTGTTGGGGGGATAACAGTATCTTACAATTGAAATTCTGATTCAGCTGTCAAATACATGCCAAATATTTCATGTTAATATCATTTCAATAAAATGACAAACATGAATCTGCAACCAGTTATACAAATTTTCTCAGTTGTATAAATATCGTAAAATAGTTTAGTTTCACTGATTTCCTGATTCACTACTGATTCAATATTCCCTTGATGTTTCAGAGTAAAAGATAACCCACATGAATCTTTCATCCAAACATTTCAGTGGGTTTGAACCAATCACTCTACTCAGACTGACGGTAAAATACGAAACACTACAAAAGAGTCAATGAGAAACCTTTCTTCAAAAATAAGTTCTGTTGACTTCCATTACCAAAGATTGAGGATCTCATGACGTAGACCAACAATATTTATGGAATCATTCTGATAAAACAACACGTCTGTCTCCACAGCAGGACTACCAGCTCAAAGTTAGGAATATGTCAGTCACTTCTCAGGAGCACCCAATTTGATTATCTACATTGCTATTGCTACATCTTGGAGTATAACTCACCACCCATGTCTTCCAACTGGCCACGTTAAGGTGTAGGTGTATATATACACAGTATGTTAGACAAGCTGAGTACGCTGTATAATTGGCGAGACGGTATCAGCGATTATTGTGACTTCATTAGCCCCTTGTGTTTACACTCGGTATATTGACACAGTGATTGAGTGTGGATTTAAACCAATATTACCGGCAATACTTCAGTGGGGGGCATAACGAACAGGTTCACAGGTTTACGTCATTAAGAGAAAATGTTTCGACAAGGATATAATACTGCTGCCTGTCAACAGACAAATCTTAAAAAAAAGAAAACGGTTTTAAGTTTGCGGTTGCCATTTGTGAAGCGATGCGGTTTTGATTATATGTGAGTATAAGATTGCTATCATTCAGTGAGAAACTTTTATTTGTTTAAAAACCAGTACAAAATAGTACAAAAGTAGCTGACTTTACTAAAATGTAAAACATTATTGATCTCACCATACACTGACCTCCAGCACTGTCTTCTTCTTAATACACAAGTATATACAAGCAATATAAAACTTTGCTGACTCATCGATTCTAGCAAATGTAACAGTCTTACAGTCAGTTTAAGGCAAAATACTTCAAGCACAAGTCAACACATGAGAAATTATTCTGTTTTAAACTGTCAAATTGACATACATTATTACAAAGTTGAGTGACTATGGCCCGAAATTAGAAAGTTGAAAATTAAATTGGGTCATGTTATCCTCAAAGTTTTGCAATATTGTCCACATAAGAAGTCAGGGGAGGAAATAACTTTAAAACTGATAGTGTACTCCGGGACAGTGGCACATGTAAAATTGCTAGTGTACTCCGGTACAGTGGCACATGTAAAATTGCTAGTGTACTCCGGTACAGTGGCACATGTAAAATCACTTGCCCTGATAATTTTTCCTCTATACCGGCTGATTTTCTTGTTGATGTTTTAAATAAACAACATAATTAACATATGAAAGTAAACTGGACATTGGTACAGCGTAATATACACATTTGCTTGCCCGACTTGAAAAAAACCCCACTGTACTTGGACGTCAGGCAATGGGTTATTTCCACCCCTGGGAGTCCAGTAAAAGTTTAAAATTGTGGTCATAACACGGCATCTTCTCAAACAAGGCATGCTTTCAGCTCCCTGTACTAAACAGAGGGACAATCTGCAAGTGTCCACAACTTCTCCACAGTAACTTTCAAGTCTCGTGATGCCCTGGACTAGCCCTAGGTTCAATTCCATTTGGACTACAGTCAGCAAATTTAGTCAAAAAGAAGAGAGATCGTATATGAGATAAAAGTACTGGTCTTTCTCAAACTGATGTAGAAGCAAAAGTACTATCAAAACATTGGAAAAGTAAAATATCAAAAAGTAGCTACAAATGTGATTGAAGCTAGCCATTATAGTGATATCACAGTACACAAATACATCTGATAGTCATCCTATTTTAACAATGTACCAGCATGTCATGGTTGATTGGCAACAACACTTCACTACAGCAATTACACGTTGAGCACATTTCTGTAAAATGTAAGTACTATCTCTAAAACCATAAAACTGATGTTGAAGCACTTTTTGATTTTGACAAAGTGATGTAGGACATCAATCTGTTCCTATCCACAGCCCAAAACAAGCTGCGATGAACATAACAAGTGCAAGATATCATATATTAATATTATGTATGAAAACTATGAACAAATGTGCAGTACTAAGAGTAACAAGTGAGACGGTCTATACAGTACTTACTGAACTAACATGGCCGACGCATACTTTGACTTCCACAGTTTCATTTCATTTGTACGCAACACAAAGACGTATATTTACAATTTGCTAGGGTGTATAATGTACAACTGAACATAATGACTGTAAGTTCATGAAAATTATAATGCCTCCAATTTGGTTAACTTGAGTCTCATTGATTTTATCCTGACTGGCAAGACATTTTAATTACAGATTTGGGGTATTTACACGACTAATTCCTTTAAGCAGCCATATGTTCACAGGTTGATGCTGTGGACTTCATGTTTCAAGTTCTATGCACGTTGCTGGTATATGGACACATGACACTTGGTTCTACTGGTGAAGAACCTGTCAGCAGCCAGGTGGTATATGGAAGTTGACAATACCACGATCAGATCGGTACATGTTATCCCAGTCACATGACACTTGGTTCTACTGGTGGAGAACCCGTCAGCAGCCAGGGGCTAGTGGTGCATGTGCTCATCCTTCCACTTCTTGGTGTTGCTGAGAGCTTGTGTCTTGACGAAGTCGATCTCGCGGTACTCGGTTGGGGTGGAGTGAGGGAGGTGGACGGAGGATGGGGACCGCGTGTTGGTCTCCTGGGTGTATTCGTCCAGCTCCAGATCCAGGTATTTCAACTCCTTGTCCTCCAGCACCTGTGGCGGGGGCGGCACAGCACGCATACCCCTCGGGAGCTGCAGACAACAATACAACTGTTTACAACTCTTGACTTCTATGTCTCCTATATATCCTTCGTAAACTTTCCAAAATATAAGTATAGCTAGAACTAACTAAGTTGAACCAACTGGTAGTTCTTGTAACAGTAATCCTGTTGTATACCATGTAAAGAGTGAGTGAGTGAGCTGAGTTAAGTTTTACACCCCACTCAGCAATATTACAGCTATATGGTGGCGGTCCGTAAATAATCAAGTCTGGACCAGACATTCCAGTGATCAACAGCATGCGCATCGATCTACACAATTGGGATACGATGACACGTGACAACCAATCAGTGAGCCTGACGACCAGATCCCTTCAGTTGCCTCTTACGACAAGCATGGGTTCTAAACCGGATCTTCACGGGTACCATGTAAAAATATAACTCCAGTCACAGCACTAAGATGGCAACTTGGCAACAGCATGGCAACATACCATGTTTTCAACGAGTACTTAATCTGTATACAACCACACTTTATGTGTTCTTGTACACGAGTCAGGCACATGGAGAGCCAATGTCAGCAATATTCCAGCTCTATCACAGCCAGTTGTGATATGACTCCTGACAAGAATCGCGTTGACTTACATGAATTCCTCCATCAGCATCCTCCTCCTCATCGGAGCTGGAGACAGTGTCATACTTCGACGGCAGCTGCAGAATAGGCTTCGACACCGATGTCGACTTCCTGGCATTGCTGTAGCAGAAACAACAGTTAATTCACACCAGTGTTAATGCAAGGAAAGATAATTTCCTGAACAGTAGGAATTGGTTTCGAGGAAGATAGTGTCTGGGAGGGCATGAAATACGTACCTGGGACTGCTATGGTTGTTGATCCGGTTCTGTTCATTGCGTTTGAAGCTCTTGGTTCGAGTGGAGCTCCAGATTTGATTCTCGTACGTATCTGAATCTGAAAACAGATACAAAGCAAATGTCAAGACAATTTGGCCACCCAATAGCAATAGATTCAACAATCCGGGTGTGTGAGTCAGTGAAAGTTGATTTTGTAGTACACATGATAAATCTATTTAGTCTGCTCACTTATTTGCATTTTCTTGTTCAGACCCCTGACAGACTCATATAATCAAACACTAATATGTAATTAATATGCAAGTCCATAACTTAGGTACCCATTATACTGGCAACGAATATACTATGTGGCGAATATGATACGTATCATGAATATTGGGTAACGATTACGAATAATTATTCACGAATACAATATTGTAGTTAAGTGATTTATGTACAATATGGAACGCCCATGTTGACAGTTTTGATTTGTCACAGCAATAACCAGTGATCTCATGACACTCAAATTTGGTATGTAATAGTTATAGTCGACAGTTCCATGTGCGGCCTTGGCAAACTAACATGACTTGCACTACTGCAAGGCTAGTACATATTTAATCCTTGCATATCTCACTTTCCACAAGTACACAAGGGTTCAAGTAAAACATGCTCCCTTAAAAAAATCATAAATATTCATCAGTATTTGGTTCTGGTGACCACGAATAACGAATTGAATTCATGAAGGGCTACGGTTCGATTCACCAAATATGCGAGTGAATCGTTACAGCCTTACATTATACACAGCAACCCAAGTAGTTGTCATGCTCAGTATTTGTTTGTTTGTTGTTTAATGCTGCACTCAGCAATTTTCCAACTATATGACAACGGTCTATAAATGACTATGTCTGGACCAGACAATCCAGTGATTGACATCATGACCATCAATCTATGCAATTGGGATACGATGACATGTGTCAACCAAGTCAGCGAGCCTGACCACCCGATCCTGTTAGTCGCCTCTTATGCCAGGCATGGGTTACTGAACACTAACTCTAACCCTGGAGTTTGAGTTAAAGGTTTAAAGCACAGTAACGTAAGTACTTGTCCAGCACAGTAACTCAAGCATTTGTCCTGCTCAGTAAATTATGTCCTCATGAACGAAAATATAAAGGTTTTGACTATGTTCATGCCTTATCTACCAGTGATGGTATTTTAGAAGCAAATTCTTTTTTAAAGATTTTAACTGCACAAGTCTCTAAAAGTGGATTTAAAAAATGAGATATCGAAAACATTATCCATTTTATCCAAACAAAATTGAAATCATATGTTGCTCAACAATTTCTGTTAACATTTGTTTTCAAAAAGTGATATGATGAATTATGACTCTCTTTCACTCTCTTTCTTATTCCTAATTGATTGAAGCAACTTTCCAATTTTACAGGTGTCTAATGATGCACCTACCTGTTGGATTCAAGAAAGTCACATATTGGTTGTAAAACATAATAATCATTCAGTTAACATAAACAAAATCTGTTGTCAACAAACCTCATCAAAGGCATTTGACAAAACATCACTTGCACTTGATAACACAGGCAAAGCAAGGAGAACTGCATGCAGAGTTATCTCCCTTTGACTATACACAGCAGGTGTGAGAGTCTATTTTACAACAAACCCAAGCTGTGTACAACATTGAAAGAGAAGCCAGCGAATCACAACCTGTTCTCATGCATACACAGGGACCAAAATATACTTCCTAGAAATAAGTAACTGTGTCTACAAACAACATGCTTTAAACATTCACATGCAGTGAACTACGTGAACAACACACATGCACTTACCACCCACTGTTGTTCAACAACATTATGACTCAATCTACAGCCATGTACAACAACATCATGCTCTGAACAACAACATGCCTTTAAACAGTGTTTAAAACTCCCAAAATTCCAAGCCAGACAGCCGGACTGGTGACTTTAAGAAATTACCAGTCCGGATACAAACTTGCATGTCCGGTTTTCAACAATGAAAAAAAATCAGGTTTCTGAATACTTTACTGTTTGCACACATCACAATGAACTACATAGCACTACCAGGCAATGCACCGAGTTTAGGTAAACTGAAAGTACATGTGTTGTGATTGGTTATTGTAAAATGAACTGTCCAATCGTAAATAGTTTAACATAATTATCATAATACCTTAAACACCTCAAACTGACGACCAGAGAACCTGTCTGATATTATGAAATATTTACTGTTAGGGTCAAAACATCTACCAGACCACCGGACAGGCTACTTTTGAAATTTGACCGTCCGAGATTAAAGTAGACCGTTACGGACGGTCGGGTAGGCGGGTATTTTAAACGCTGCCTTTAACAATAAGCACAACAACAACATGCACTGACATGAAGCGGAACAATCCTCTTGGAACAACAACACTGAACAACAAAAACATGCCCAAACAACAAGCCTGGAACAACATGCCTTGAACCACGACTACAAGCCCTGAACAACACCATGGTAGGAAGCACCTGCAGACAGTACCAACCTGCACAGAGATGCTGTGGGAGGTGATGGTGGTGGGGCATATGATGAGGATGACGATGCTGATGCTTGTGGTTATGACCTGTTGACAAACAGCAAATTCTCTGCTACATCTCCATGACAACTGGATGTCAGAATCACAAGACGGACAACCTTCTACACCTGCCTGACCATTCAGCCAAATACCGAAAAACTGTCCACCCATCCATTTTCACCAACCTTCTTGTCCCCTTATGAACCCGTAACATTCCAGTTAACCCCTAACCTCGGAGTCCTAAACGCCTAATCTTTAAAAACCCAATTTTCTGGCATTAATAGAACTGTATCCTAATACGTTGAGATGACTAGTGTACTTCAGCGTGAGGCCACACACTGATCATGATCAAGTGCATATAATGCAGACAGGAAATATCCTGTGAATATGACCTATACTGACTACAATATGTATGCTGACTCTCACAATATGCATGCTGTTTCCACTCTGACTTTATCATCATGTTATATCACTAAGTTCATCCTGATCAACTCAATGTTTCACTAATGTTCCCTGTTCCCTATCCTGACTTTATCAACTCATATCGTCCCATCACTAATGTTCCCTATCCTGCTTTATCAATATCGTCCCATCCTAATGATCGCTACAACACCAATTCTAAACAAAATCTAACTCACACAAAACTCTCCGGTGATGTGATTTGCTTGTTTGCTGTCTTATGTTCTCAGTCATAATCTAGCTACACAACAAAGGGCAATAAATAATCAAATCTGGACCAGACTATCCTGTGATTGAAATAGTGAGCAACAGACCACATTACCAGGGTACGAGGACCTGCTATCAATCTAGCCAAAGGACATGACTTCCTGATCTGGTTGTGTTTTACGAACCACATTGGTTGGTGGTGTCTATTCTGAACTGTAGTCTTACACAGACTGTGGTCATATGAAGACGCAGGGTTGAAACTTGAACACAGTGGTAAACTCACCTGGGTTGGGACAGGGAGGGGCTCGGACAACGGAGCTGCTATTTGTCCTGGGGGGTATCCGACATGGAGGCGGAGATTGGTACAGACTGGACATCCTCTCCGACATCCTCATGTCTGACATCTTCATGTCCGTGTACACTACGTCCATGTCTGTGTACACAGTCTCCACTGTGGAGTCTGATTTGTCCATTGGCACATATGCACTATCAGTTTTCGGGGACTGCATCACACCTTCCGCAGCGTTTATGTACTTGTGAACATTCCGGGTGCTGCAGCTCTTGGGTGGCGGGGGCGCCACGTTCAGAGAGGTGACACGAGACCCTATGGAACCTGAGCGAGGGATGTCATAACTGTCTAATGGAGCAGGCCGCTCAGGAGGTTTGGGGGCACTAGGCACAGCTGAAAGATCTAAATTATTGAATGATTTGCTATTCTTGGGCACATTCATATATACAGTCTGATTCATTGTTGCTGGTCTTGGGGGTCTGGGTGGAGTCTGGTCTGGTTGTGACCCTGAACCGGACCCCGATCCACTGGAGGTTGGCCTGGGTGGGGGTGTATCATACGTAGGTTGTAAGTCTTGGGGTGTCACTGGGCGTCCCATGGAGGCTTTGTCACTACCACTGGACCTGGGGTGCTTGGGCTTCCGCGTCTTGGGGGGACGTCATCGCCAGGCCGTGGCTGAAGTCCTCCATCTGCCCACCACCGTAAGGACGACGAGGTGGAACCTGGTACAGGTCATCAGTGTTGTGATTTGGTGGTACATCGTACACCTCAGAGATGAATACACTGTCTTCCTGGCTGTCCCGAACTCCCAGGGATTTCCCTCCCTTGTCTGGTGGAGGAGGCGCTACCTCCTCAGGCACACTGTCCACACTTTCTCGACGTTCATATTTGGGCAGCGTCTGACGCTGTTTTTGAGAGCCACTTCTGCAGGTGTTGAGGGGGATGTAGGAGGGGGAGGTTGAGACGTTGGTGGGGGCAGGGGGAGTCTTCAGGGAGGCACTGATAGACACAGGCTGGCTGGTTGCTATGTGGTGAGCGTTGGGTGCTATGTGGTGAGCATTGCCATTAGCCGACACTGTAGGTGGGGATGTTCCCGACAAGTTGGATGTCTGCTGCTGCGTTTGCTGCTGCTCTGGTGGTATATCAGTGGCTGAAAGATACAAAATTAATCAAAAGAAGTGCTTAATTATGTTTCATAAGTTAATTTTTCACATCCCTACAGCCAATACATATCTTAAACAACACCCCAATAACGTGAACACATGTGCACAATAATGCATACTCTACGTTTCCTCTGAGGTCGGTGTACCTGACATCCACAAATATATTCATGTTATCATGAACATCAACAACCAGAGAAATAACCTGGACCAATGTTTCTGTGATTACACATTCCGAGCATAGTGATGCAAAAATGGAGGGAAGTAAGGGAGACAACTCACGACTCTCTTCCTGCTTGAGGTCGCAGGCACCACACAGGTTGCGCACCCAGGCTGTCATGTCTTCCTCTGAGTCTGCAGCTAGAAAGTAGGTGCGTTCCTTGCCGCGACAGAATGTCTTGATGGCCAGCAGGTAGTTGAACTGGTCCGAGTCCAGCGACTCGATGATCTGTTCACATTGGTCCAAGTCGATGGAACCCTTCTTTTTGCTGCAATGCTCATCGTTGAAGTAACTCAACTCATACTGGCCCGGCAAGCTACCTGATGGCTTGAACAGCACAAAGAACCGACGTTTCCATTTCTGAAACAGACAACATTGAAGTTAAAGACAAGCTTCAGACAAATCTGGAATAGCTGAATTTCCTCAGTCCACCAAACATGACTGACCAGAGTTTTGTGAAACAGATAAAATCTAAACAAGACTGTAATCTTGTGTACATCAAACAGCATAGATACTGCATCTTTCCATCTCAACTTATTCGTCCCATCTCAATCCTACGTCATCCCATCACATCCTACATCTTCCTTATGTCTTCCTATCTCAATCCCACATCTTCCCATCTCAATCCTACGTTTTTCCATCTCAGCCCTAAGTTATTCCATCTCAGCCCTACGTTATTCCATCTCATCCTACGTCTTCCCATCTCAACCCTACATCTTCTTATCTCAGTCCATCTTCATAAATGAAATCAAAACCTACATGTTCAAATAATTTCAATTTTATCACAACACAATGCAGCAAATCAAAGATTCCAAACTTCTGTAGCAATGTGCATTTTGTTACAATATTAATTACAGGTTTACTTGCATTAATGTCCTTTGTCCATTACCTAAAAGAAGGCATGTTGGTCTAAATTGTAAGAACATTCATACAGCGTTTCAAAGACTTGTACACACTCACAAGACAAACAATACCAGTAAACATGAGAAGTCCAAGGTAACAACGTCCTCTCCAAACAAAGCAAGTTGGAGCCTTAGTCTGGTGAGACTATCACTGCCGTTGAGACAACTCAAGTCACATAATCTATCGCCACATAGCAATCGCACAGTAGCATCAAATATAACTAATTAAAAAAATGTTGACGTCCAAATCCTTAAACAGATTGTCCTAGCCTGACAAAGTCTCACTAAATATAACACATTCTTTGGTTGAAATAATTCCCAGAATGCCACACTCATTATTTGAGAATCATCAACACCACACATCTTATGAGGAAAACCTGCGGCAGCATTCACTCGTCCCGAGCCTGTGGCAAAGTTACCACACAGTTTACCACCAGCTTTTTAACAAAGTGTTTTTCGCAGCAAACATAGTATTTGTTTTTGTGTATGTGGTGTGCTTGCCGCGACTTAACGCAAGGTCAGGGCGATAGCGTATCGGAGCCATGTCTCCTATCCTTGAGAGTGGACATGACTTTACACCCAACGTTGCGGACGTTGATGTGAGCAACGTCATGCACCAACATCAGCTACTGCACTCACACGCTCTTTGCTCTTCAAAACGTTTGACTTTGTGACTCCTGTAGGAAGATGAACATTTTGAGGGGGAGAAAAAGAGTTTACACAACATGGTTATTCCCCAGGCAGTGAATAACATAATCACATGTAGCCTCCATTAGAGCGGTCACAGTGGACTGTTACAAACCTGCATGTTGATTGTCAACCATTACATCAGATTCTCTTTCACTTAACAATGTTTCATTAAAGACAAATCAACAAAATGTGGCTGAAATATGACGGTCCAGGAGTCTATTATAGCATTTGAATCTGACGATATCTAAATCTTAAACTATCAACATTAGGATCGCTTCACTTTCATGCTTAGTTTCAAACATTGATCAGGTTTATGTTTGTTTGTTTTTTTAACACCATATTCAGCAATATTCCAGCATTATGACAATAGTCTGTAAATAATCAAGTGTCTGCCATGTTGATACGTAATTAAACATGTCATACGCATGTCTAACCTGGACTGGTTACGGTGTACATAAATCAGGCACTCTTGATTCAGCAACCTTTAAAAACAAATAGGTTGCCATTTAGCACTAGATGAGATAACTTGTTGATAATCTTGGCAAACTAGTGGTTGATAGCGTAAACACCAATCAACATGATCAGCCATGCCAGTAACACTATAACCATCCACCCACAGTTCCTGTCAGCTTTTACAAGCAAATCGTACTGGGGGATAGTCTGCCCTGGAATCCCAACAGAGGAATAATTCCAAGAGAATGAGTTCAAATGTAAAGGGAAGTAACTCTGTCATTAACAGAAACACAGCATTACATTCCTTTTTGTCAATAAATGTAAGAAATCCTAATATTAATCCTATTTCAACATCCATTTGAAAGAAATATGAAATAACTAAGTTCACCATGAGCCTTATAACTCTGGAGTCAGGTCTACAATCATGTTATATGTATATATACACACATTAACAAGTGGTGGGTAGGTAGGCACATTCACAAAATAACAGGAAATACCCGTGAAGTCCCTCCCTTGCCAGTGGTACCGCCCAGCATTCAGGACATACCATACCTTGCCTACCTGAGATAACTTGTGTTGCATAACCACAGTCTTCCCCTGACAGTCAACTGGGCCCTTCAGGGCTACTGGATACTGACTCCCTAAATATTTTCATTATAACATGAGTGAGACTTACTTTTAAACCCCATCCCCACCCCCCTCGATAGTGTGTACCGTTGGACTCCTGGGAGCGGGTTAGATACGTCCTGTTCACTAACACTTTACTGTTATTCTTCTCCACATTCTGTAACGATGTTGTTACCACTAAAGTACTGTCGGAAATAGAAAAAAACTGTTTTTAGGCTGTTACCCTGTATCCCTAAAATTGACACAACTGCAAATAACATATGTCGAAATAACCCATATCGGCCTAACTTGGCATTCAGTGGGATGCGTAATAGAATATCCAGAAAAGCATGTTTACTCGTAAAATCGGGCAAAACTTAGAAAAAAAAGAAGAAAAAATACCAATAGCTGCTGAAAACAATATAGGTCGCTCAGCCAGGTATGACGACGGACCGTCGACTCACCTGGCATGAAATGCACGTGCTGCCTACAGGCACAAGGGGTCATCTCAAAGATATTTTGTGCTTCTCATGTGTGTTGACTATGCCTCATCTATTGATAAACATCTTACGTGTCTTTCTTTCATGAAGTTTATGTTGAGATATGTAAAAGAGTATGATACCTGATAACCATAGAGACACATTGTATTGAATGTATTAGGTGGCATGACCACCTGATCGCGAAGATCGACAGGACTGGATATTATTTATAAATTGTTATGACATGCCGTGTACTTCCCCAGTATAATTGCCCTAAAGGATTATCGTATCTAAGCTGATATCTCTATCCCCAAGCGAGACAAACCCTCCTATCTGTTTCTTTTTATAGTGACAGTGAGACTCCATGGTAGCTACATCCTTAATAGCTTCAGCATGAAAGTTATTATTTTTCACACCAGCTATCGTTTATAATGAAGCTACATCTAATTTCAAATTGGGCATTTAAAAAGTGTCCTTTGTAATACAATCATCGCACACTAATTTGCATAAAGCCATGGTCTGTTCCAAATAAATCGCTTTGCTCATTTCTGCAGTAATCTCTCCTCAGTAAAGTCCTTTTTCTACGTTTCTTATGTCCTACCACTGAGATTTGTAGTTAGGTCAAACTTAGTTTAACAGATATTTCACACTTGCACATATCAACTACATAGATTGTAGAGAGAAATGAGAAAATACAGTTTTTTTTCTATTTCCGACAGTACTTTAGCAACACGTGGCCAGTCCCTTCACCAGGAAACAAAAGCTCTAAAGTGTGGTTAATCCTTAGACGACTGTAATCTTTACAATTATTCATCTTATCAAGCATATACGTGCACCGGATTCAGAATTTACATATTCCTTCACTGAAACAATTTTAGTTACGTCAAACAGAACTTGCCCTGGTGTTGAAAATTGCTACCATCTGTTCAAATGTAAACAACACATCCTCTTAGATGGCAACACAATGGAGGTGTTATGTGGCACAGTGTATCTGGTCACGTGCACCCATCAGTCTATGAACCAGCCTAGGAATGTCTAATGTAACAGTTTCCATGCTGATGTTGTAGGCAACATAGCTTCAGTTTTAAGAAATATTGCTACCACACTCATCCAAATAACCACTTCACATTTCCATAGCAACTGAAATTCTACAACAAACACCCATCACCATGTGACCACACACATTAAAGCCAGTGGTTTACACTGAAACTGTCCCAAGTACTAACCACCCTCACACACCTACCTAAGTACAGCTCTCACCTCGATATTGGGGAAAACATCCAAAACTGATGAAATCCACAATATACAATCCGCATACAAGTCACAATAATCGCTTCACATTTCCACATAATTTTCATTCCCAACCAGCTATGACCTATCCATTTCTTCTCCAGTATCTGTGGTATTTTGCCAACCACTTCCTCGTACCTGCGCTGTGATCACCGCGAGATGGGTGGAAATGGCATCAGTCACGAGTAATATAACCCACCTTGCACTGGTGGCTTTACCTACCATGCCACATGCTTCGAAATGAGATGCCATGTTCTGGCCTGACTATAAACACGAGGAGCTGGTGCACCCGAGTGCCATCATTCTGACAGGCCTTTCATGACGGGAACTGAGACAGATGGAAGTCATGCTCCTCATGGAGGTCTTCTCAAACAGGTGCTTGTCATCAGGTCTCTTTTACTTCCTTACATACCACAGTCTCCTATACTTCTTTACATACCACAATCTCCTATACTTCTTTACATACCACAGTCTCCTATACTTCTTTACATACCACAGTCTCCTATACTTCTTTACATACCACAGTCTCCTATACTTCTTTACATACCACAGTCTCCTATACTTCACATACCACAGTCTCCTATACTTCTTCCCTATACTTCTTTACACCAGTCTCCTATACTTTACATACATACTTCTTTAGTCTCCTATACATCCTTACATACATACCACAGTCTCCTATACTTCTTTACATACCACTGTCTCCTATACTTCCTTACATACCAGTCTCCTATACTTCACATACCACAGTCTCCTATACTTCCTTACATACCACAGTCTCCTATACTTCTTTACATACCACAGTCTCCTATTATTCTTTTACATACCAGTCTCCTATACTTCACATACCAGTCTCCTATACTTCTTTACATACCAGTCTCCTATACTTCACATACCACAGTCTCCTATACTTCTTTACATACCACAGTCTCCTATACTT